CTCTGCTTTAAGTGTCCTCTTATGCCCTCCCATTACACTTATCACAAATACTGTATATTGCAAAAAATACTCTTATAATTCAATATGCACTGTTTGCTTTATTTTTCTGCGTCTTCAACTAAATTGTGAGCTCCTTGACAGCAGGTCTGAGAGCGTATTTACCTTCATGCCACACTGCCTGACACATGGAAGGGGATGTTGTTAAATGAATGATTTATAAAAGGGGGAGGGAGAAATGAAGGGAGATGGGGAGAGGGAGGGAGGAAAGAATAAGGAGGAAGAGAGGAAGGAAAGGTAGAAGAGAAAGAGGGAGGGAGGGAGGGATCCAGAGAGAGGAAAGGGAAAAGGAAGGGGGGGGGAGGAAGGGGAAAGGGACTGAGAATACTCACACAGCAAAAGACATTAAAAAAGGCACTTGTAATCAATCCATTATTTTTATGTGGTCTCAGGCAGTGATTACTGAGGAGAGAATGGTACATCTGAAAAAGCCCATCTCCCCAGATCCTAAGTACAACCACCTAAATCACTTATCCCCTAAAGATTCTGAAATGTCTACTCTATCCAGTCCATTTCCACTTCAAAATTTACAGCAGTGTAATGAGAAATGTTAATAACCTGCGTAATAGAAAAGCAAAAAAAAAAAGTTTTAGAAAAAAGTAGGAAATGTATCTGACATAATTAACTCTTAGAATTATTTATAAACTTCAATAATCTATTATTTCCTGATAATGTGCTATCAGTGACATTGAAAGGTTTACCAAAAAGATGAAAAATAAACTAAACATAACACCAACATCATGATCTATGTTAAAGCACAAAATTGCTTTTACATTACAGTCATGTCTCAAAAACACACTGGGCAAAAATACCATGAGATACACTATATTCGTCAGTAAAGAGGCCTTTATTTATTTATTTATTTATTTAAGTAAATTCTAACAGGAAAATTGCTTCTAAAACATATAGCACTTAAAATGCTACATATATTTTTCCTTGTTTTGGGACTTTAAAGCAACAACCAAAAAAGTGTACTCCTACACACTTTGAATTGCCTCAATACACTATCACTTAATAAAATTTAATTCTGTGACTAGTAGGACACATACTACAAACTTAAAAGCTTGCTACACAATACAAATCTGTTTGATAAGATCTGATAATTGGCATAAATCCTTCTACAGCTCAGTTGTCATTACAATATAGAAACTGGGAACACACAAACAAGAAAATCTAAGCCTAATATAATCAATACTACATACTTTTTGAATTGCAATTTTGTTAAAGCAAAATACCAATCATGGGCAGCCTCTCAACTTTCACAACATAAAAAATTAAGTTGAAAGAAATAAGCTACATTTTTAGGACTTCTGATTACTAGCAGATTCCCAAAGAGAGGACTTACTATACTGACAATAACAGCAGTTCTTCTCTCATAAAATTAGATTACTTTAACAATTCTTTCCTTTTAACATTACTAGTAACTTTTTTTATAAGCCAGTAATAATGGAAATGCTGAGCCCTTAACATGAGTAGTTCTAAACTGATACTAAAATATTTGCATTTGCCTAATACCGTAAAACTTTCAGGGCTGAAGCTTCCAACGTACTTTCATTTTTTTAAACAGATAAGTTGAAGGGGAAAAAAAAAAAGGAAATGAAAGGAAGAAAGAAAAGGTAAGAAAATCTAAAAGACCTTCAACTTACTACATTTCTTTTAACCAAACATTAACAGAGTGCTCGAGATGTGCCAGGCATTACACTGGAAACTGTGACAGATTACAACATTTATTCCAAACTAAATCCCGTATTAATCAGCTTCTGATCTTATTATATATTATTCAACCCAACACTTTTCTTAAGAAATTGTTGTCCAACACCAAAGAAGATATATAGTTTTCCCTGATAAATTTACTTGTCACTGATTCATACAGGTCACAGAAGGTGTAGCTAGCATCTGTGATTAACAAAAGGGATTCATTTCTGAAACATCAGTTTTTTTCATTTACATGAAGGCGAAATAGTAATTCAGCAGATATAAACTGTTTCAGGTAGGAGTTTACAGCATCCCAAACTCAAGAATAAAAAAACATAAAAAAGAAAAACAAAAAACACAAAAAACTGGATGAAATTTAATTACTTTGTATAATGATAAATATTTCAGTGGCCACAGCTTTCACTTTCCACCATAAACATAAGTATTGCAAATCTTAATCTGAATGCAGTACTATGAAAGCGGTCCTGATTCTGAAGAGAAATAAATTTTTTTTAAAAAAATTCAAAGGAACTATCAAAAGTAGATGACACCCACATTTTAACATACTAACTGATGTGTTTCTATCCTTGTGAAAACCCTGTACTCCTTTCAAGCACTTGTGAATTTGTAATGGATGAAAAATATCTGCTAGTCTCTAAGTTCCACCAGTTGAATCTAGACATTTCAGATATCTAAGGCTTTTCATCCTCAAGTGCGTTAAAAAATACGACAGCATTCAATTACATATTCTCTAAAGTGAAAAAAAAAAACCTGTGCTTTTATGACTGTAATTTCTTCCACCATTTAAGTAGACTGTACTTTTTAGACAACATCCTACATTCAGTTAACATGTTTACGTTTAAGAGGAACCTGACCATCGGTTTTCCACATCGGTTTTATCACAATGCAATAGAGCATCTGATAATTTAAAGACCAAATGGATCAGTAGAGAAAAACACACCATATAATCCTAAATCCCCGGAAATACAAGGAACAACTGCTATCTCTGAGTTGTCTAAAGATCACCAACATTTTCCTGAAAAATCTTTCGATTAAGATTATATTTGATTTCGCTAATCTAATAGGTCTTCTACTAAAAATTCACAGTACTGTTCACACAATAAATGAGATGTTCTTTCATCGGCGTAACCGATAGAACCACAGTACGGTTCAGTTTCTAGAGTCAGATTACTTGACCTGCTTTTAAAACACTTAAATTCACGCAGTTATTCCTATCATTCATTCCCGGCAAAAAGAGGTTCTATACGAGGGAAAAAACATCATCCTCAGCGAGATATCCTATAACCGGCTCCAAGTCCACAGCAAAGCCCACCGAGATCCACGGCAGCTGACCCCCGTCGTCCCCGGGGACGAGCTCGGGCCCCAAGCCACCTCACACACCTTCCTCGGCAAAACTCGGGGTCGCTCACACGACCTCGATCAAACCCCCCCACTTCCTGGATCCTCTAGCCCCCGAGGCTGGCTTTCTGGAGGTGATCTTACCTTCATGATGATCCTGGGGCCGCGATCCCCTCGAAAACACCAGATTCACCTGCACCTGGAGGCGAAACAAAAGACACCCCGTCAACACCACGGGCACCCCTCTGCACCGGCGGAGGCGGAGGGAACCGTGCGAAGCCTGCACCCCGACAAGGAGCCGAAGGAGGCGTCAGTCCCCGAACCACCAAACGCCGAGCCGGGGCCCCCTCTGGCCCCGCCATCCCCGCAAACCCGACCACCTACACAGCTCGACAGCTTCCCGTCCCCATTGTCGGGACCCGACGGAGTTTCCCGTCTCCGACAATGACGCCATTTCTGTCAGAGAAGAAACTCACTACAAGCCCGGGGGCCGGCGCGGGGTCGACCGCCCTCCTGCCCGCAGGCCTGCGCGCCGGCCCGGCCGCTCCCCCTCGGAAGAGCTGCGCACCCCGCGTCCGAGCGGGAGCGGGCCGGGCCTCGGGGAGCACGGCGGGGGCGGCGGACCCGCCGGAGGGCCGCGGGCTACACCAACCCGCCGCAGAGGCTCAGCCCACGTCCCGCTCCGGGGCGGACACCCGACAAGTGCGAGCGGGATCCACGTCTGCCGGCCGCGGGGACGGCGAGAGCGCCGAGGGGCCGGGCGGCGGCAGAGCCCCCCCACCGGTCGGGGCCCCCCACCGCGGCCGAGGGGCACTAAAGCGCCGAGTGTGCGGCCGCCAGGGTGGGGGGCGACTCGGACTCGGCAACTGCGGGGGGGAGGGGGGCGGCGCGAGTTCCTCGGAGGCCGAGGCCCCGAATTGGGGCGCCGGGGGACACCATCCCAGCGATCTTCCCCGGCTCCCCGGCCGGGCCCAGTGACTCCCCTGAAGACCCCCTTACGAGACCGCGAAAGCCCCAGAAAATGCCCCTACCTTCCTGGGAGGCAAGCTCCGACCCTGGCACGTCCAGAGTCCCCTCCCCTGCTCCCCCCCAAAATCAGCAGGCCCGGGGGAGAGATGGGGGAAGAAGGGCGGCGGGTCCAGCGGTGGCTGAGGCTAAAGCTCCGGCTCCTCCTCCTCCCGCGGCGGCGACTGGTACCTTTGTTTGGCGGCCGCTCGGGCTCCCTCGCTGGGGGGAGGGGGGACGACGAAAAATCCCTCCTGGACTGGAGGTCCGAGCCCCCAGTCGCGCTGCCCTGCAGAGGACGGCGGCGACAGACCCTCTGCGACTCCCTCCGGGCAAAGGTCCAGGCGGTGGCCGTGGCGGCTGCAAGCTTAAGCGCAAGAGTCTCCCTCCGCTCCGGCGCCTAAGCTCCTCACTCCGGACTCGACTGACGGGCAAACATCGCTTCCCCCCCACCCCAAGTGCCCCCCCCTTCCCTCCTTTCTCCCCTCCCCTAGACTTTTTTCCCCTCCCCTACCTCTTTCCCGGATGGCCTCTTAGACGACCTCGGATTGGTTAGACTTCTTTAGAATCCGCCCATACTCTGTTCCTATTGGTCCCCGCGATACAAACAACGACGCCATTTTCCCACCAGTTCTATGGAAACAGAAAGTTACGCCTCATAGCTCCCCGGGAAATGTAGTCCAGCCTCTGGGGCCAATGCGCGAGGCCTTGCCCCTGAGAACTGCAAGACCCGCAACGCCCCGCGCCTACGTGAGACAGGGAAGGGGGGGAGGGAAAGGGGCGGGGCGACAAAGCAAAGGGGAGGCGGCAACGACGCCTGCGCAGTGTGAGCGGGATGGCGCATTTTCTTGCACCGAGCAATGCGGTGTCGCTGGCGGGTGAGGAAGGCGGAGAGTGCTATCGTGAAGTGAGGGGAGGGATTCATGTAGGCATCCGGGGGAGCCTTGTTCTGAACTATAAGGTGGGAAGTTGATGCTGGGTACTGCTACTCCCGGACCCCCGGCGTGAAAGTTGTGATATCATCCTCGAACCGTGAGTGGCTGTGGTGGCGGCTGGGGGGAACCCGGATGGGGAGTGAGGGTGGGGGAGGTTGGGAGGCGGAGCTGAGAGGAAAGAAAGAAAGGAGGGTGAGGACCCGGATGCTGAACCGGATTGTGTCTGAATTTTCCATCCTCTCGCTGGAGAAGGGGAGGAGCGGTAGGGGACCCCGCGGAGCGGAAGGGGGCCTCGGGGCGGAGAGGAAGCAGGAACCTTACCGACCCTGCGGGCTCCGCTAGACGGAGTCGGCGTTGGAAGCCCTTCTGCCAAGCCTGTGTGGAAAATATGCCTCGAAGTTATTTAAATTCCCTCCATGTACCTCTCCGGCAATTTACTTCACACCCATCCATCGTCTCCCGGAGTTCGAAGTTATTTAAATTCCCTCCATGTACCTCTCCGGCAATTTACTTCACACCCATCCATCGTCTCCCGGAGTTCGAGTGGAAGGATGCACTCCACGCTTCACAGCCGCGCTTACACTTTGTCGATTTAGCAATTCTGAAAACAGACCCATCCCTTTTTAAAAAATTACTTTGCACGATATTTTCCCTTTTCTGTTCGTGTGCCCGGATTTCGTCCTCTAACGCATTGGAAGGTACTCGGCTTACGTCCCTTCGTTCATTTCGTCGTTCCCACATTTGAACGCCACCGCCTGGTGTGGTCCCTGCCGTCATGAGCCTGAGCCTAGTGAGACAGGCAGGATGGCCACACAAGTCAGTGTGATATTGCAACAGGTGTGAGTGCCGCGAAGGAGAGTTTCGTGGTGATAAGAGAATTGGAAATAGGGAGTTTGCCTTAGGGAGATGAGGGAAGGCTTTCCCGAGGGAGTGAGGATCCAGCCGAGAGTGGCAGGGTTAGCGGGAGTTAACTACGGAAAGAACATTCCAGAGAGAAAGAACATCACGTTGGAAAGCCTTCTTCCAGGAGGGAGCTTTTTAAACCATGAGGAGCAGCTGGGCCGGGGGTGGGAGGGCGCGGGGCTTGGCTGTCGGAACCTGATACGCTATGTTAGGGAGTTTTGTTCTTATCTAAGAGCCATGGGATAACTTCGGAGGGTTGCCAGTCAGAAGGGAGATAGGACCAGATTTGAATTTCGAAAAGGTCACTGGCTAAAGAGTAGAGGACCAGGGGGATATTGCTTCAGTAGTCCAGACGGAGGAGAGAATCTGATTTTGTGTTAATTAATATTCATCGTGTGTTGTTTGAACAAATGTAAAGCAGTTTCCCAGTTTTGAAAATGAGTAGTTTCAGACTCTCACAGAGGCATCCTGTGGTGGTTCGTTCTAAAAGTAGATTAGACACAACATTGTAAATCAACTATACTTCGGTAAAATAGTTTAAAAATTAATTACTTTTAAAAAAGTAAATTAGTAGAGTTCATGTAACACATTAATGCCTTTTTATATTCGGGTCCAGTATGTGATAGCTGAAATTTCTAGGTGTGATAAATTGGAGTCTTTTGGGTTAAAAAAGAAGAAAAGAAAAAGAGCCAAATCAGAGTATATGCAACAGTAATGTAGAAACCCTCAGACTCTTCAGAAGACAGGAAACTTTAGTTTTCAGTACCTAGCAAAATTGAGGCTTCTGTGTTTTCCCACTGTTGAGAATACTTGCATACAAACATTATCTGGAGAAGGAACATTAATTGATTTATTTGTTATGTGAGTATTCTTAAACTTACCAGAGTGAGCAAAGGAAAGAATGATTTTTTTAAAGTTCATAACTAATATTTTCAGTCGAACAAGACATCAACCAGCTAAGCCCTAAGAATTGAAACAGATTAGCGCTGAAAATCTGTCTAGTGGCGTATTGTTACTGATGCAGAGACAAAAGAGAATTATTGAAAGTTGGTCTTACTGATTTTTAAGTTAAGTCACATGTGTTCTGGAGGCTGTGAAAAAGATAAACATAATTTTCTCAACCTAGTTGGGAAGAGATGGCTACTAACTGGTTTAAATAGAACAGTATATGAGATGCTTTTTTAAAATTCTACTTTTAATTCTGTTCAATAATCTTTTAACCTAAGTGATTATTCTTCCTGTGCATCATCTTCTTTTCTTTCTTTAATCTCTTAAGAATAAGATAATCTGTGTCAAACTTTAAACAGTATAGGTAATAGGTTACTAAACTGGTATTTGGATTATTTCAAAATATTTTCTGAACTTTTTTCCCTTGCAACATACTTAACATTAATTGTTGGTCAAGGCAAATGTAGAAGAAAATACAGAAAATACACTTTTCAGTCTTTTAGGCTCATGATCCTAGAGACCAAATCATTGTCCCAAGAAGCAAAAGAAAGTAGACAAAGGTGAGAAACCTTCTGAAGTGTGCCAATTAGAAATGAAAACTCCCTCCCATCCCCCCAAAAAGAGAAAAAACAACAAAAACAGAAATGAAGACTCCTAATAGGAGGACAAACAAAAATAGCAATAGATATTTACAAAGAAATAGTAGAGATTCAATAGTAAAGGGGGATTCTAGGAAAACTGAGTGATGTTCTAGGAAATATTGAAGTAAATATAAAATTCAGAATAATAAGTCACTACAGGGGAATATTTTTAATAATATAATTGCACTCAAGTAAATGCATGTCTTAATCAGAATGTCGAAAATTGATTGATTGTGAAGAAAATGCAGAATAGGATTTTCTCCTTATATTTTAAATACACAGTTGACCCTGAACAACATGAGTGGGAACTGCTGGGCTCCACTTATACATGGATTTTTTTTTTTAATAAATACATACTACAGTATTACATGATTTGCACTTGGTTGAATCTGTGACTGCAGAAGATTTTCAGTTGTGTGTGTGTGTGCGGAGGGGGGTTGTTGGTGCCCCTAACCCCGCTGTTGTTTAAGGGTCAAATGTATAAAACCTACTCTTTTTTTTTTTTTTTTCCTGCGGTACACGGGCCTCTCACAACAGTGGCCTCTCCTGTTGCGGAGCACAGGCTCTGGATGCGCAGGCCCAGCAGCCATGGCTCACGGGCCCAACCACTCCGCGGCATGTGGGATCCTCCCGGACCAGGGCACGAACCCGTGTCCCCTGCATCGGCAGGCGGACTCTCAACCACTGCGCCACCAGGGAAGCCCCAAAACATACTCATTTTAATGCTCTTAGAAAAAAAAGTATGTTTATTAATTTACATGATCAGTCAAGTATAGAAGTATCTAATTCTGTTGTTGCCTGTTGATGTCAACAATTTAAGCCTTTTATGGTTGATAAAATAGGAACGGCTTTTAGTGTAAGTTTTGTAACTAAGGAAACCACTTAAAATCCAGGTGAACACCTTGACCAATATAATCACTTAAATGAAGACTTTTTTTTTTTTTAAAAGAGATATAATTTACATATCATATAGTTTACCCATTCAAAGTATTCAACTCAGTGTGTTTTGTTGTATTCACAAGGTTGGGCAACCAGCACCACAATCTAATTCTGGAACATTTTGATCTCCCCAAAAAAAAGAACCCCATTAGCAGTCACTCTCTCTTCCCCCCACCCCAGCCCTATGCAATCATGAGTCTACTTTCTGTCTCTATAGATTTGCCTGTTCTGAACATTTCATATAAATGGAATCATATAATATGTGACCTTTTGTGACCATCTTCCTTCACTTAACATAATGTTTTCAAGATTTCATAGGTGTAGAGTTTTCATTTAAAACCAAACTGAAAGTTTACCTTTACTACAACACCTTGAAATACAAATACAAATTCCTTTGTACTTTGATACTCAGATAATTTAGTTAACTACATCATCTTTATGTTTCTCCTTTTTTACAGATCAGCTTTGAAATTAAAAAACAATGGAGAAGACTCAAGAAACAGCCCAAAGAATTCTTCTAGAACCTTACAAGTACTTACTTCAGTTACCAGGTAACAGTTTAGTTACAGTACATATAGGGTCATCTATATAAAGTAATCGTCATTTCAATATTAGCATACAGAAAAGGTTAGAATTGCCAGCTCTTGAGAGTTTCTGTTTTCTATTTTGTAAGAAGATACACATGAGGAAAATAATAAACTTTTACAACTTTTTGTTCTTAAAAGGGATGTTTTTGAGGCACCCCTTAAAAAATATCCAATTTTATAACATAACTAAAAACATAAAAACACATAAAACATTTGAGTATCTCATTAGAAGTTTTTTTCTTTATGCATGCCACACATCCCTATTCCCTACTCTTTAGATATTAGGGGATGATCTGCCAATTTGTGAAACAAGAAGAAGCTTCACTTAACTTTCCTGTTCAGGTTTTCCATTATCACATACACTGCATTTCTTATACTACTAGTTCCTGTAAGAAACAAATAGTAAAGCATCCAAAGCACATTACTTGGAAGCATAGCCCACATTATTCCTATATAAAGATGAGTCACTTGAACATGGCTTCCTAAAGAAACACCTGCCTAATCATATGTATGTGCTTGTTTTATTTTGCTCTTTTTTTTTTTAAGCTTTTCTGGGAAATGATAGTAGCAAAGAAAAACTCATGCATGTGATAAGCGTGGCTTCTTGTAATAAAGCTTCATGTATAAACCAGTTACTAGGGCTTCCCTGGTGGCACAGTGGTTGAGAGTCCGCCTGCCGATGCAGGGGACACGGGTTCGTGCCCCGGTCCGGGAAAATCCCACATGCCGCAGAGCGGCTAGGCCTGTGAGCCATGGCCACTGAGCCTGCGCATCCGGAGCCTGTGCTCCACAATGGGAGAGGCCACAACAGTAAGAGGCCCGCATACCGCAAAAAAAAAAAAACACTAAAAGGTGATAAGTTGGGACTTCCCTGGCAGTCTGGTGGTAAGGACTCTACACTTTCACTGCTGAGGGCCCGGGTTCAATCCCTGGTCAGGGAACTAAGATTCCACAACCTGCGCAGCATGGCTCAAAAAAAAAAAAAAAAACGGTGATAAGTTGACAACTATAGAAACCCATTTAGCCCATAGTGTGGCTCAACTGTAGTGATGATCTCAATCACAAAAAGGTTGTCATTTCTGTTCTAAAGTGCACACTTTTCTCGATGAGCACTCCTCAATGGCATTTCTATTCTTCTTGAGTCTGGGGAGGATAAGTACTGTTGTCTGAAGCCAGAAGAGTGGTAGGTCCCTTCCTCCACCTTGGAAACCATCATGATTAGTGTCATTTCTATTCTGGCAGACCCTCATGGAGACATACTTGTTAATGTCAATGCTTCAAAAGAATGGAGGAGAGACAAGCAGAGAATGCAAGGGGAAAGTTGCCTACTGTTTAAGAAAAAGCCGAGAGACTGCTTTTGCGTGACATTTATTCAGCAGCCAGTAACTTTACTTATTTTAGAGTCTCATATTGAGAAAGGTAGCACTATTTCTCTTGTACTCTTCCCACCTATTGCTGGACTTATTTTGTTACACGCTGACAAACACTGGTTGGAACTGGGCTACCATAAAACATGCCAGTTACCAGTGATGACAAGTGTCCAACTAGCACCACCCAGCGTCTCTGCTCCACTACTGTGCAGAACAAGGACTGCCTATAGTTACATTTTAACAGTAATGCTTACCTGTGTAATGAACTACTTCTGTTAACATTTTTTTTAATCCTCATTATTTGGAAGTAATGTTTTAGGCCATTAGATAACATATTTAAGACTCTCATTAGGTATCCCATCTTTTTATTTTTCAAATCAAATATACTCCTGCACCCATGATAGAATAGAACCTCAAAAGAGTTTCCTAAAGAAAGAGGAAACTGTGTTATGCATAAACTATTTTTCACAGAGAGCTTCAGAGTTACTAAAGTGACTTAAAGATGGGCCAGGCCATTTATTCTATTGTAAAGTTAATCTTGCTGAAAAGAGGTTATAATAATTAATAATTGTTGATATTAGGATATTCTGAAATTAGTGAAGTAGAATGACTTTTATTTATGTTTCTTTATTTACTCTAGAAGTGTAGGTCCCCAGGCCTTTGCAGTGGGAGGTGGAGGGTGGGTTTTGAAATGGAGGAAGAAGAGGGCCTGCAGAAAGGGAGTCAGTAACGTTAAAGTCTTAAAAAAGAAACAGTAATTACTGTAATATTAAAATAAAACCTGAGGGGACTTCCCTGGCGGCGCAGTGGTTAAGAATACGCCTGCCAATGCAGGGGACACGGGTTCGAGCCCAGGTCCGGGAAGATCCCACATGCCGCAGAGCAACTAAGCCCGTGCGCCACAACTACTGAGCCTGCGCTCTAGAGCCCGTGAGCCACAACTACTGAAGTCCTTGCACCTTGCACCTGCGCTCTAGAGCCTGTGCGCCGCAACAAGAGAAGCCACCGCAGTGAGAAGCCCACGCGCCGCAACAAACAGTAGCCCCCGCTCACCGCAACTAGAGAAAGACCATGAAGCAAATGAAGACCCAACGCAGCCATAAATAAATACATACGTACATACATACATACATACATACCTGAGTACCTGTAAGTTAAGCCATTTATTGTACTGTTTTCTAAATACATTCTGAAGTGAAGGGGAAAATGTGCCTGCACATTGATTCTCTGTTCTTCATCTTCTTCTTTTTTAAGGTGCTAGGGTTACTTTGCACAGTTGTGCCTTCTCAGTATAGCCCAGATTGACCTTGGTCAAACTGGAAAGTAAATCAGAAGGATAAAGGATATAATTGCTACTCAGACCACATTCTAAAGGCTAGTAGACAGAGGATACTGCTTCCAGAACCCTAAGAGATCCTTCCCTTTTAGACTTCTCACAGAAAGTGAAACTTTGTTGCATTTGGGTATGTGATGAGGGTGTGTGTATTCATTTGTTTGGCTGATTGCTGCAGAGAAAACACAGATAGGACTCAGAAAATACTGTTTTTGTTCACTGAAACTTTATGTAACTATTTTCCTGAAACCTAATCTGAAATTAGGGTGTAACTGTGCATTCGCTTTAGCAGGAAGCTCATAGAAAGAACATTTTTATTAAATGAACTGGTTGTGGTTTTTATCTACCATTCCTTTATATTTGGGCTAAAATGACTTCTAATGGTGAGTACTACCCAAAGACCTCTCTTGAGCTTTCTGTGTAAGAAAAAGATAATATTGAAAAACTAATGGCCCTAGTCAAAATAAAGAGATTAACTTTTGACTAAATTCAGGATGTTAAAAGGGAATACTTCATGGAGTGGTAATTCACTTTTTGATAGGAAAGAAGCAGAGCTGTCCAGTCTCTAAAATCTTAATATAAAGGAATGGTAGATAATTTTAAGAGGTAATTCTATAAGGTAATTCAATAGCAAAGTACATTTACTTTAAAATACCTATATTTGGGCTTCCCTGGTGGCGCAGTGGTTGAGAGTCTGCCTGCCGATGCAGGGGACATGGGTTCGTGCCCCGGTCCAGGAAGATCCCACATGCTGCGGAGCGGCTGGGCCCGTGAGCCATGGCTGCTGAGCCTGTGCGTCCGGAGCCTGTGCTCCACAACAGTAGAGGCCACAACAGTGAGAGGCCTGCGTATCACAAAAAAAAAAAAAAAAAAATTCCTTTCAGTTACATTGTATATTGGACTAGTAAGTTAGAAAAAAGAAAAAGGAACTATCCAAAACCATCCATTTGATGTTAGAGGAAAGTATAGTAAAAAGGAAAACTAAAAGGAAAACAAAAACAAAAAAATACCTATAGTTATATATTGAATGGATAAACAACGAGGTCCTACCGTATAGCACAGAAAACCATATTCAGTATCCTATGATAAACCATAACGGAAAAGAATATTTTAAAAGAGAATGTGTATATATGTATAACTGAATCACTTCGCTGTACAGCAGAAATTAACACAACATTGAAAATCAACTACATGTCAAAAAAAAAAAATACCTATAGCCTCTGAAGTGGATGGTGCTAATTAACTGCCACTAACTAGACTGGCTCCCTTTTCAAAAGAATGAATTAGATCATAATTCCCTAAAAGCACATTCCATATTACTCAGCCATAAAAAGAAACAAAATTGAGTTATTTGTAGTGAGGTGGATGGACCTAGAGTCTGTCATACAGAGTGAAGCAAGTCAGAAAGAGGAAAACAAATGCTGTATGTTAACACATATATATGGACTCTTAAAAAAAAAATGGTTTTGAAGAACCTAGGAGCAGGACAGGAATAAAGGACAAGGGGAGGGGGAAGGGTAAGATGGGAAGAAGTGAGAGTGGCATTGACATATATACACTACCTAATGTAAAATAGATAGCTAGTGGGAAGCAGCCGCAGAGCACAGGGAGATCAGCTCGGTGCTTTGTGACCACCTAGAGGGACGGGATAAGGGAGGGTGGGAGGGAGACGCTAGAGGGAGGGAATATGGGGATATACGTATGCATATAGCTGATTCACTTTGTTATACAGCAGAAACTAATACAGCATTGTAAAGCAATTACACTCCATTAAGATGTTAAAAAAAAAAAAATTCCATTCCAAAACTGTTGATATAAGTTAAGATGAAAGGAGTGAGCTTACTGATGGGTCCCTGGAGTCCTAGAACTCTCTTTTGCCTGCCCTAATTTTAAAAGGTTGTGCATTTTAGGATATGAGTTTTGGTGGAGGGAGGTAGTAGGGCCCAGCAGTGGAAGACAAGCTCTACAGTAGATAATGGCTTGGTGGGGCTGGATTTGTCAAGTTTTATTAGTTTCACAGGAAGTTTCTGAATGTGTTTCTTGTAATTAAAAATATTAATTTATTGCCAAATTTTATTCTTTAAATGCAGGTAAACAAGTGAGAACCAAACTTTCACAGGCGTTTAATCATTGGCTAAAAGTTCCAGAAGACAAGCTACAGGTATTTAGGCAATTCTAACCTTATTCTTAATCTCTAAGAAATTAATAGATATCATGTAAAAATACTCCTAGCTCTTAATTCAGTTTAATGATCATACATATCTTACATTGAGGTTGCTAGATAATAACTAGTTGTAAAAACTAAGGCACCTGACACTTTGATTATCTGTTAATATACATTAAGTATTTATAAGCTCTTTTGAATAATTCAAATAAAATGAAATTTTTCAATTGTATTTCTTGTTAGATTATCATTGAAGTGACGGAAATGTTGCATAATGCCAGTTTACTCATCGATGATATTGAAGACAACTCAAAACTCCGTCGTGGCTTTCCAGTGGCACACAGCATCTATGGAATTCCATCTGTCATCAATTCTGCCAATTATGTATATTTTCTTGGCCTAGAGAAAGTCTTAACCCTTGATCACCCAGATGCAGTAAAGCTTTTTACCCGCCAGCTTTTAGAACTCCATCAGGGACAAGGCCTGGATATCTACTGGAGGGATAATTACACTTGTCCCACTGAAGAAGAATATAAAGCAATGGTGCTGCAAAAGACAGGTGGACTATTTGGATTAGCAGTAGGTCTCATGCAGTTGTTCTCTGATTACAAAGAAGATTTAAAGCCACTACTGAATACACTTGGGCTCTTTTTCCAAATTAGGGATGATTATGCTAATCTACACTCCAAAGAATATAGTGCAAACAAAAGTTTTTGTGAAGATCTAACAGAGGGAAAGTTCTCATTCCCTACTATTCATGCTATTTGGTCTAGGCCTGAAAGCACCCAGGTGCAGAATATCTTGCGCCAGAGAACCGAAAATGTAGATGTTAAAAAATACTGTGTACATTATCTTGAGAACGTAGGTTCTTTTGAATACACTCGGAATACTCTTAAAGAGCTTGAATCTAAAGCCTATAAACAAATCGATGCATGTGGTGGGAACCCTGAGCTAGTAGCTCTAGTAAAACACTTAAGTAAAATGTTCAAAGAGGATGAATAATATTAAGCCATTCTTGATTAGGCCTGATAGCTTAGTTGACTTTTTTTTGTCTTTTAGCCTATTACATTTTTTAAAATTTGGACCAATCTGTTAGTATCCAAAAACTGAGTGATAGTGGTGATGTGAGTGAGGTTGTTTCAATATAGAATCCCCGTGTACAGATAATCATAGTACCAAGTTGAAGGAATCAAAAGGAGCCACATTTAAATGAGTCTAATTTGAATGTCAGAATGTGCTGTGTTAGGACGTTGTGGCCAACTCTGCCATGCATGTTCTGTTGATTCTGTCAATAAAGAAGACTTCAGCTCCAGGAATTTTTATCCACATACTTCCTAACTGTACTGTACGGGCAGTTCACAATTCATCTACCCCATTTCCAAGCCATTGACTACGTGGGACCAGTTTCTATAGCTAGCTGGCCCGAAGACCACAGGAACTCCTCTTTCTTCCTAAATGTCGTTGCTTAGAATAGCTCATTCTCCTCCCTGGAAACTCCCTTAGTGAAGTCTTCCATGAGAAAGCTGACAGTGACAAGCAGTAAGCATTCTGGGCCTCTTTTCCTTTCTCCCAACCCAGCAAATTCTGCTGTTTATTTAACCAAGGAGTCTCCGCTGAATGAAATTTACACACTAGCCCAAGTTCTTTTTCCTTCTAATGTAACTTGTGCCTCAAAACTAATTAGTATCTGGGTACAGCAGTTATCTTTCCATTTGTGGGGGGAAAAAAGGTACATGGAAAAAGTATTTTAGGAAGGAGCCTTTAAACCATTTTATGCTGTCTTTATCATTAGTAGTAAAAATCATAAAAGCTGTTTGCTCACAAGTACAAAAGCTGGGGGAACTGTCCTTTTCCTTCCCACCCGCATCGTTAACCCCTCTGTAGGCAGTTGGTGCTTGAATGGAAAAGGAAGTAGGCATCTTTAACCTCTATGATTAAAGGAAAGAAAAGTGTTAACCTGAGAGCTACTGCCTGACTGAAAATTAGCCAAAGGCTATACTATCAGGCACAGTTAGCTTTATAGTGCCTTAACCCTGACTATCCCTTTTGTTTCATTTTAGGCCCTCAGCCCCTGGAGCCATCTTATGGCACAAGAGGTATGAAAAAAGAGACCCTGATTTCTGTATGAGAAGTGTCACTGACATCCCAGAATGAAAGTTTGTACTTCTCAGTAGCATTACATTTTGCTTGATTGGTTGTACAGTGTGTTATCTTAAATCAAACCACCATATTTTTGTATGAGAAATTCTCACCAAAATACTCAACCTAAATCTTTTTTGAAAAGTTCGGTATTGCCTTTACTTTTAGAATAATTTGAATCTTCCGTTTTAATTGATCCAAGGAAACCTCTTCTGAAAATCATACATATTTGTGTTATACTATGGATATTTGAACTTTGTTTTTATGAACCTGTAACAAACTTGATATTAAAAAAGATCTAATGCTAACTATATAGACAGAAATGAAGTTATTTACCTATAAGTATAATGACTGCTTAAGTAGATTATTTCTTAGCTAATCAAATTAATTTTGGCCTGGTGCTACTCATTATTCTTTTCGCATTTTTTTTATTTTTTAAATTTATTTTTGGCTATGTTGGGTCTTTGTTGCTGCACGCGGGCTTTCTCTAGTTGTGGCGAGTGGGGGCTACTCTTTGTTGCAGTATGCGGGCTTCTCATTGCAGTGGCCTCTGGCTCCAGGCACACGTGGGCTTCAGTAGTTGTGGCACGTGGGCTCAGTAGTTGTGGCTCGCAGGCTCTAGAGCGCAGGCTCAGTAGTTGTGGCACACAGGCTTAGTTGCTCGGTGGCATGTGGGATCTTCCTGGACCAGGGATTGAACCCATGTTCCCTGCATTGGCAGGCAGATTCTTATCCACTGTGCCACCAGGGAAGTCCTCTTTTGTCATTTTTATCTTGCCTTTCAGTGACAGAAATGCTTGGCATTGAATTGGGGACTTATAAAAAGAGTTATGTATTAAATCATCAAAAATCTATTCTTTTCACTTGAACCATAGTCATGATGGTTAATACAGAAGAAAATCAAATTGATTTTCTTTGTTGGCAAAATCAAAAGAATGAAGGCTAGTTATGTTGCTATAAATGACTTTCAGACCTCAGCAAGATTTTAAGTACATCAGCTCTTCTCTTATTCCACTCTGTCAACTTCCTTACTTGACTTCCTTCTCTTCTTAATCTATAACCTATAGTCGTTCACTTCAGGGAGCCTTTCAAGAGCTTTCTCGGATCACTTTCCTCCTTTCCTTAGGCCCCTCTCATCCTGCCAGTTCCCAATCTTGCGTGAATCCAACGGTCCACGTGCTTTGCTCCTCCCACGTTGCTAAGTGCTGCTGGGGAACGTTTTCACAACTGCTATAGCCATTGCAAATTAATGTATTAAAACCTCAGTAGCCCTTTTATTTTTCATCTAATCCTGATGGAGGTTTAAAATGTGTCAATCTAGGGACTTCCCTGGTGGCGCAGTTGAGAATCCACCTGCCAATGCAGGGGACACGGGTTCAATCCCTGATCCTGGAAGATCCCACATGCTGCGGAGAAGCTAAGCCCGTGTGTCACAGCTACTGAAGCCCGCGCGCTTAGAGCCCGTGCTCCGCAACAAGAGAAGCCACTGCAATGAGAAGCCTGCGCACCGCAACGAAGAGTAGCCCCCGCTCGCCGCAACTAGAGAAAGCCCGTGCGCAGCAACGAAGACCCAACACAGCCAAAAATAAATAAATTTACAAAAAAATTAAAAATAAATGAGATTTGTCAACCTAGCATTCCCTCCTCCTCCATTCTTCTCCTGTTAAATGTAAATTCTTCTAACCTTCCTCCCCTATGCTTCTTTAGGTCTGCCTTTCATCTCAAGAAAAGTTGTTTGTCCTCCTGCCCTAGACCAAACAAGCTCTCCTGTTTTTGATTCCCTCTTTCTGCCTCTTGAGGGCCTTATTTTATTCCCTGCCTTATATCCTCAAGATTTATCCATTGGCTCCGTTTTAATCAGCACTGAGAGGAAGGAAAGAGGGAAGAAAATGTATATTTGTGAAGGACCTATTAGGTACCACTGTTTTATGTTTTTTCTTCAAGCATTTACTGAGCAGAGCCAGGACCTTGAATACAGGTCAGAGCACTTTGCTCTTCTGTACTGTTGGCCTCCCATTCTAAATGCACACTTAAATATGTTTAAAAGTTTAGAAAGCACTGGTCTATTGTAATGTACTAAACAGCTTCCTTCCTATAATCTCTACCCACTCCAGTCTATCCTTCACACTCCAACCAAAGTTGTCTTTCCAAAGCACAAATCTGATTATGTCATTCCCATGTTTTAAATTCTCTGAATCCTCAATACTGCCACCTGTAAATTCCTTGGCAGAGTATATAAGGCTTTCCAAAATCTGATCTCCAAACGACTTCAACCATATTTCCTAATATTTTACTCTCCCCACACACGTTATACTCTGCCAGAAAATAACGTTCGTCATTGCTGAGACACTATTCTGTTTTTCATTCATTTCATTTAGAATACTTCTTGAGTGCCTATAAGCTAAATCCTTTGCTAGGCTTTGGAGATAGAAGAGTGATAGACACTATCTCTTAGTCTTATGTGATTTTTTTGTAATGGAGACTGGGAAGTAAGTAGCCAATTATTAAACAGTATTGTTAGTGCTGGAATCAGGGCCCCTAATTTCTTGTTTACATGTCTGCTTCTCCCATTGGATTAGAAACTCATTAAGGGCAAGGACTGTGACTTACCCTCCTCTTCTCAGTAGCACTTAATAAATACTTGTGAATGAATAAATCTACTTGAAACTAATCTCCCACCTCTCAAGGGTTCCATTAAATATGATGTATGTGAAAAGATATCATAAACTTCAAATGTTAGCTTTTATGTTAATGTGGTTCTTCTCCCTCTAATTCTTTCCCTAATGATTCTTACTCAATGTTTTCCCTTCTGAAAGCATTCTTAGACTGTTTACTTTCAGTTTTGTCCATAATTACCATTGTATCAAAACCCTGACCTCCTCATATTGAAGTCCTGTATTTTAACTGTTCATCTGAGTTTTCTGTTATCAGCTTTAAATCATATTTAAAACCAACTTATACCTCCCTCCCTGTCCCTTTACCAAGCCAAATAATGGAATGAAACCACTTCTACCCCCGCCTCTTCTATCACCATTGTCATTCTTAAAGTGATCCAGGAGTGTCTTTATTTCTTACCCTTGCCTCCTATCCAGTCCTCCTAAGTCCTATAGACTTGTCCTTTGAGATATCTCTTATCTCTCCCTTACTTTCCCTTCTCACTTCCTTTTCATTTTCACTGTGGCACTTAGAACAGCCTTTATTGCCATACATGCAGGGCTGATATTTGGTGGCTGGAATACAGAAAAGGACTCGTGATAATGAACCCTACAATAATATGAACTCAGAATACAATTGGCATTTGGCTTCTCAACGTCCCACCACCTCCAGTTGGCTAACTGCACACTTACTTGGTTATCTCATTAAATCTTGTAATAATGCAACCTCAGCTTTTATGTGATTGACTATATTGGACCTTACAGTTGTATGGCATAATTTTACTATACTCTTGGTAAAGATTATAATAGTATGTGCAGTAAGCAAAAATCTAATACAAATTTCCATATTAACCCATTAGTTAAAGTTAATTGTGTAGAATGTTTAATGGGCATCTTGTCATAGAGATATCTGGGAAACATCTGCAGCACTACCTGCCTTGTCATGCACGTTGTTTATAAAGCACTCTATGCTTTAGGAGAATGACCCATTTATTTTCTTTGAATTATATTTGTTACTGTACAGAAAGAAAAATATATCTGAAGAATTGAAAATTGGTATAGTGGATAATGGAAGCTATTTAGACCTCAATGGGCAAAGCAGTACTAATGGTAAGCTACAAAAGTAATTTGTAAATCTTACCTAAACTTGTAAAGTCACATAATAGAAATTGCAAAATGAGAATAGTTAAATATTTGAAAAGTAAAAAATTTAAAAGGATTTAGCTTTAGTAAATTATATTCTAACAGCTGTCCATATTTTATAAGAAAGAAATGATTTATTAAAGTTGACAGATAAAGTCAAAAAGTCAATTAAACTAAAGGAAACTGAAAATGAAGCAGAAGGTTATTGAAACAAATAATGATAAGCCCTTTGAAACAAAACAAAGTAGCTATCCTAAGAGGCAAACTAATAGATTTTCTAATATGGTTTATGAAAATGCATTTGTGGTTTGATAACAGACACGAAAGCATAATTTTTTTTAAGTTCAATATATTGAATCCTGAAACCTGGCCAATTTAAGTTTGTAAAGCTCTGGATCGAAGAAGAACAAAAATAAAATGACAGCATTCACTAAATGACTTAGCACTAAAGATATAAAATATATAATTTTAGACACTATTATAAGGCTTAGAAGAATGTTGAATATACTTCCTGGTAGTTCCGAGGAAACCAGGAGAGGATTCAGCAAAAGAATGTTATTAATATTGGGAGAAATTTTCAATTTATTGAGACCACAAGTCACCTATGACTGTCAATTTATTCATTTTATTTTTTTTGGCCACACTGCGTGGCCTGTGGCATCTTAGTTCCCCAACCAGGGATCGAACCTGCGCCCCCTGCGTTGGAGGCACTGAGTCTTCACCACTGGGCCACCAGGGAAGTCCCATGACTATCGCTTTAATGAGGAAGTTGTTGGGAGAATTTATTGCAGTTTACTGTGTTACATCATGGCTCAGACAGGAGTATCATTTAGCTAGTAACTGCTGCAACAAACAAAAGATCAAACCAATCATTTCCTCCTGCCTTGGAGTATCATCATAGCATATATGGATAATTAATGTCACCTAACTTGTTTTACTGGAATCCCTTCTCTTCCTTCAGCCCATGTTGCACAGAACTGCCAAACTAATCTTAATGAATTTGCTTTCACTTTATGCCTCTATTCATAAATCGTTTCCTTTTAGGACAAACACTTTAGCTTCACAGTCAAAGCTCCCTGTAATCTGCTTCTCATCTTATATATACACACATATATATGTATATATATTTATACTTATATATAATTTTTTAGAAACAGCTTTATTGGCTCACACACCACATAATTCTTTTAAAGGATACAATTCAGTGGGTTTTAGTATATTCATGGGGTTATGCAATCATCACCACAATCTAATTTGATAACATTTTTGCATCCCCTGAAAGAAACCACCATCACTATTAGCACTCACTCCCATTGCCCCCACTCCACCCCTAACCCCCACCCGAGACAGTCACTAATCTACTCTCTGTATTTATAGACTTGCCTATTCTGGTTGTTTCATATAAGTGGAATCATATACTACGTGGTCTTTTGTGACTGGCTTCTTTCACTTAGCATAATGTTTTCAAGGTTCATCCATACTACTTATATCATAACTTCAATAATTTTTAAGTCTGAATAATAGTCCAGTATATGAAAATACCACATTTTGTTTATCCATTCATTGGTTGATGGACATTTGGATTGTTCCTACTTTTTGGCTTTTATGAATAATGCTGCTATGAACATTTGTGTCCAGGTTTTTCTGTGGCTATATATTTTCATTTGTCTTGGGTAATATTATGGACTGAATGTTTGTGTCCCTCCAAAATTTATATGTTGACGCCTCAACCTCCAGTATCTCTGTATTTGGAGATGGATCTTTATGGAAGTAATTAAGGTTAAATGAGGTCATAAAGGTGGGAATCTGATTTCCTTACAAGAAGAGACCCAAGGGAACTTCCCTGGAGGTCCAGTGGTTGAGACTCTGCGCTTCCAATGCAGGGGCACAGGTTCAATCCCTGGTTGGGGGATTAGGATCCCACGTGCCATGCGGCCAAAAAAAAAAAAAAAAGACCCAAGAGAGCCCTTTTCTCTCTTTACACCATGTGAGGACACAGTAAGAAGGTGGCCACTTGCAAACCAGGAAGACAGCCCTCACCAGGAATCCAGTCAGCTGGCACCTTATTCTTGGACTTCCAGCCTCCAGTACTGTAAGCAAATAAATTTCTGTTGTATAAACCACTTGATTTGTGGTATTTTATTACAGCAGCCCAAGCCAACTAAGAAAGTTAAATACCTAGATGAGTCATATGGTACCTTTGTTGTACATTTTGAAGAGGGAGTATATTCTTAAGATATACTCCCTTAGTTGTACAGAAATGTACATAAAAGTATATTAATTGCAGCAGTATTTGTTTTTTTCTAAGATTTTTTTTTGATGTGGACCATTTTTAAAATCTTTATTGAATTTGTTACAATATTGCTTTTGTTTCATGTTTTGGTTTTTTGGCCAGGAGGCATGTGGGATCTCCACTGAACCACCAGGAAGTCCCTGCAGCATTATTTGTAATAGAAAAAAAGTAACAAATGTTCATCAATATGAATTGATTAAGTCACAGTTCAGTGACTTAATGCAGCAAAACTATCTGTATACTATACGTACAATATATAGTAGCAAGATAATTTTTAGATATTCGTGTTCTTTTCCCTCTGTTTTTTCCATCTTTAGTTACAGAAAGGTACCCAGTCCATTTTGTACTTTCTTGCCTCAGGGAAGTATTATGATGATAAAGCTAAAAGAAGGCTCTTGTAAAACACTTCCTTTCTGAATTAATTTTCCTACAACCTGAGCCTGTTGAAGAGATCAGGCTAGGTGTACTGGAAGGGAGACACAGAGAAAAGGAGCAGTGACTTTAAGGGCAAACAGAACAGAGGAAAGAGGAGAGATTCCTGGGAAGGAACAAAAGCCAGAAGTTCCCATGGCTGTTGGTAGTACTGTAGGAGGTGAGCAAGACTTCATGCAGGATGGACTAGACAGTAACCTTCCCGTTCTCTTCCTGGGACAGGGAAGGAGAAAAGTGCCAGGCTTTGAGGGATCACTGTTGGCTTCAATAATAAACCTGCCAATGGAGTCTGATGCCTGCAGTTGAGAGGTAAGGAGGCCCTAACACTGACTGAGATTAAATTTTCTGCTAGCCCTGCAAGAAGGGAGTGAAAAAAGAACATTCATCCTTTCAAGATGCTGGACTGAATACGTGTTTGTCTTTTCTCCCTCTTGAGAGAATACTAAAAGGAAAGAAAAAGAATAAAAAGGCTAAAATATCAAAATAACCTTGAGAATTGGAAGGGCTTTGTTAGTGGATGAGAAATTCCAAAAAATGTCTGGACTACAGAAAGCAGAAAGACTACTGATTGATGTAAGCAGTGGGGATATGGCCAGAGCTAAGGCTATGTAGAGAAGGGGCTGTGGCTGAAACGGGACCCAGCAGGCTCAGGAGAACTGAAAGTACTTGGCAGAATAATGGAGCCCCAGCGATGCCCACGTCCTCATCCTCGGAGCTGGTGAACAGATTAGATTACATGGGAAAGGGGAATTAAGGGTGAAGAGAAATTATGGTTGCTCATTGATGATCTCAGAATAGGGAGATTATCCTGCATTATCCAGGTGGACCCACCTGTAACTACAAGCTTCCTCAAAGGAGAAGAAGGAGGCAGAAGGGGAGAGTCAGAATGAGACGTGACATTGGAACCAAAGTCAGAGTGGTGTGATGAGAAGGACTCAACCCACCGTTTCTGCCTTTAAACATGGAGGAAGGGGGCCACAAGCCACAGAATGCAGGTGGCTTCTGGAAACTACAAAGACAAGGAAACGGATTCTGCCCGGGAGTCTCCAGAAGGGAACACAGCCCTGCTGATACCTTGAGAAGTGTTGGACTTCTACAGAACTCTATATAATAAATATATGTTGTTTAAGCCAGTAAGTTTGTGGTAATAGGAAACGAACTGGAACAGCTCTCTACTTGTCAACAAAGAGGACTGGAGAGATAAATGTGGATGAAAACAAATTAATTGATAGTCTGTAAATGGAAGTGTACATCTCCCCATGCTACCTCTTTCTTACACCCCAATGGGCAAACTAAATCATCACTGCCAGATATTTTATCCTCAAGCAGAAGAGTAAGACATCTTTTTAGAGAAGTAGAAGTGAGTTTCTGGGAAGAATTTGAGCAAATAGGAAAGGTATTGGTGTCAAAGAGCTACATTCTTCTGTTCTGGCATCAGGGAGTCTTCCTGGAGCATCATGGCTGCTCCCTTCCCAATCACATGACACTGAAACTTACCAGCCAGCCAGCCAGCCCTGCTTGCATAAGCTGAGCTCCCATTAGCTCCCATTTAGGATTTCTCATGCCTCATTCTGTCTGAAACACAAATGGACAACCAGAAACTCCCACACATTTATAGAATACCTGCAGTATGACAGAGAAAGACCAAGGTAAAAAAAAAAAGAAGCAAAACCAAAATGAAACAAGAAAAATATAGAAAAACTCAAATTAGAGGGAACAGAAAAAACAGAGAACACCTTAAAACAAAATAAGACAAACCACAATCTGTAAGTAGTGTCACTGGAGAGATCTGAGGGGATATGGAATGGAATCTATGGCCGCTGTTGTTGTTTATCTTCCTAACAGTCATCCCGCACTTCTACTTCATGAAAAGAACCTTTTTGATATTATCCCCATGTTGCATGGCCATGTGTTTCAGGAAAAACAGAATTCTCTCCTCCTCGGGGGGTCTTAGTCTGTGTCACTTAAGGCCTTCAGCCAGTTGGGTGAGGCTCACCCACATAATGGAGGGCAATCTGCTTGACTCAAAGTCTGCTGATTTAAATGTTGATCTCATCTAAAACATACCTTCACAGCAACACTGAGACTGGTGTTGACCAAGTCTCTGGGTACAATGGCCTAGCCAAGTTGACACATAAAATTAACCTTCACAACCACATGCCAAGATGAAAAGTTGCACATCAGAAGGTACCAAAAGTTCCTTAGAAGCAGGCTGGAGAGAACTTGGTATGATAAACCTCTGCCACTGTGAAGTCCCCCGTGGAAGGCTGACTCCTCCTTGGGATGGAGCTGTGAGGAGGACAGATAGGAAGAAGACTGTAAAATGTTACAATAAAAGAATTAGCATTTGATTTTTTTTCTTATATAAATGTTTTTCAGGATGTCCTTATGAACAATTATTCATAGCCTCAACTCCTGTGGTGTCCAGTAAAACACTGTGAAATCAAATAAATCTCCAGAAATTGAATGGGTTTAACTGATCTTGATTTTCTTTTACGTTACCCTACAACTCCAAAGGGCTTGTGTACTAAAGTAGGCATCGTGCACAGAGATGGCCAGCAGGCACATGAAAAGATGTTCAACATCTCTAATTATTAGAGAAATGCAAATCAAAACTACAGTCAGGTACCACCTCACACCAGTCAGGATGGCCATCATTAAAGTCTACAAATAACAAATGCTGGAGGGGGTGTGGAGAAAGGGGAACCCTCCTGCATTGTTGGTGGGAATGTAAATTGGTGCAGCCAATATGGAGAACAGTATGGAGGTTCCTCAAAAAACTAAAAATAGTTGGGAATTCCCTGGCAAACAGTGGTTAAGACTCAGCACTTTCACTGCCTTGGCCCAGGGAACTAAGATCCCATAAGCCATGCAGTGCAGCCAAAAAAACCCAAAACAAAAAAGATACATGCACCCAATGCTCATAGCAGCACTATTTACAATAGCCAAGACATGGAAGCAACCTAAGCATCAATTGACAGATGAATGAACAAAGAAGATATGGTATGTATACACAATGGAATACTACTCAGCCATAAAAAGAATGAAACATGGATTTGCAGCAACATGAATGGACCTAGAGACTATCATACTAAGTGAAGTAAGTCAGAAAGAGAAAGACAAATACCATATGATATCACTTATATGTGGAATATAAAATGACACAAATGAACTTTTCTACAAAACAGATTCACAGACATAGAGAACAGACTTGTGGTTGCCAAAGGCGGGGGATCGGGGAGGACTGGATTGGGAGTCTGGGATTAGCACATGCAAACTATTATACACGGAATGGATAAACAGGATTTCCCTGGTGGCATAGTGGTTAAGAATCCACCTGCCAATGCGGGGGACACGGGTTTGATCCCTGCTCCAGGAAGATCCCACATGCCACAGAGCAACTAAGCCTGTGCGCCACAACTACAGAGCCTGTGCTCTAGAGCCCACGAGCCACAACTACTGAGCCTGCGTGCCACAGCTACTGAAGCCCACGCACCTAGAGCCCTTGTGCTCTGCAGCAAGAGAAGCCACCACAGTGAAAGACCCGCGCACCACAACGAAGAGTAGCCCCCACTTGCTGCAACTAAAGAAAACCCCACGTGCAGCAATGAAGACCCAACACAGCCAAAAATAAATAAATAAATGAATAAATATATTTTTTAAAAAAGAGAATGGATAAGCAATAAGGTCCTACAGCACAGGGAACTATATTAAATATCCTGTGATAAACCATAATGGAAAAGAATATGAAAAAGAATGTATGCATATGTATAACTGAATCACTTTGCTGTACAGCAGAAATTAACGTAACATTGTAAATCAACCTTACTTCAATAAAACAAATTTTTTTAAAAAAGTAAAATAGGTGTCATGGTCCCAGTGACAAAAATTAAGAAAGTAGATGTAGTCACTGAGAGAGGATGTAGCCCAAGAAGAGCAGTTATCAAGGAGGGAACAATTAAAGGAATAAGGAAACCACGAAGGAAGAGACCAGCTAATTAAAAAGACAGGAAGTTCTTAATCTGTGATCCATGGACTTCTCTGGGGCCCATTAACTGCCTTCAAAGGTTAATTAACTCCCTGAAATTATATGTGAAATTTGCATGTATGTGGATAGATGTCATCAGATTTCCAAAGTTATTTTTTAACTCCCGGTCAATGAAAACGACCACAACAAAGAAAAGAAAAAGAAATGAAAAGAAAAACAAAACCAAAAAATAATCACTGGAAAGAAAGCATGTGGTTTCAAGGAGTGAACCATTCAAGTATAATGCAGTAGAGATACCCAATAGGATATTGACTGAAAAGTGTTCAATCAGTATGGCAATTAGAAGGTCTCTTCTTTGAAGAGTCATTTAGTTGTGCTCCCTCAACCTCCTTTCCACTTCAGCTCACTGTAGTGTGGCTTCTGAGGCTGCTACTCTACCAAAACTTCTCTTGTCAGCGACACTGACATTTATTTTGTGAAATCTACCGAATAGTTTTGTCTTCTCATCTAGCTTAACTTCTCAGCAGCGGTGACCCCACAGTCTTCCAGTTTTGCTCCAACCTCTCTGGTTTAAGCCACTATTTCCTTTTGTGCCCCAGATGAAATGACTACAATAGCTCATAAGTGACCCCTCTTTTTTTTTTTTTTTTTTTTTGGCCACTCGTCTTGCTGATCTTAGCTCACCAACCAGGGATGGAACCCAGGCCCCTTGGCAGTGAAAGCACCAAGTCCTAACCACAGACCGCCAGGGAATTCACCGTAAGTGACCCTCTTAATCCTCCCTCAGCCCTGCTTCCCACTCCTGTTTACCTATAGAACTAGAAAGATCTTCCTCCAGTTCTTTTTTCTTTTTTTTACATTGCTTGATCCTTCTTATCTTGCAGCTGTCAGTTCAAATGTCACCTTGAAAGTTATCCTCCCCTTACTTCCTACTTTCAGTTTGTAACATATCACAGAACCATCTGTTTCCTTTAGTGCACCTCACATAATCTGAAATTATCTTATTCATTTTATTTATATATCATCTGTCTCATACCATTAAGATACACATTTATCCAGAACTGGAACATTGCATCTCTTTTTCTCTGCTAGGTCTCCAGTGCCTAAAAATAGTGTTTGCTGCAGAGCTGGCTCTTATTTACCTGATGCATGAAAGACGAGACTTAAAATGAATTGCATTACAAATACTTGATATTTTAAGTTTGCACTTTTTTGAGACAGTGCTTTAAATATGATCTTTACAACAAAGGGGGATAAGTAACCCTATCGACCTATGCTATTGAGAAATCAAGGGATATGAGGACTAAGAAACCACCTTGGTGATCTGAAGTCAGTGGTGATATTTGAAAGATAATTGTGGAAGAACTGGAGGGAAGACAGAAGCCAGAAGGCCAGGCTGAAAAACATTAAAGTGAGAGGAGGGTGAGGAATGAGAGACAGGGTGTATAGATCTCTTTTAGGGAAAAACTTTAGCAGAGAAAGCACTTCAAGGAGATAACATGGTTGAGGCAGCAGTACAATGTCTCGAGGAAAGGACAGAAGGCAGAGAGGGATCATTCTTTCACTCTAGGCAAAACCAGGCAAGTACTGTCACAACTCAGTGGAGACAGGAAAATATTTTACAAAGAAAAGGAAGGTGCATGCTTCCTATATCTGTTGTGGGGCTGGTCTGAATTTGGTGGATGCCAATAATCTTCAAGAAGTGTGGCCATTCTCTGCCGAAAGATAATTTAAAACTCTCCAGTTAGCAAGTGCACAGCTCTTCTCAGGACACAGCTGAATGTCAGTAAATAACCTACCTTTATTCTGCTTCAGTTTTTGTCTAAGTTGGGGCCAAAGTTGTCCTCCAACCTTCATGAGTACAGGAGGCTTGATCAAAATAAATAGTGATAAATCCCATCTGATAAAGCCATCTGAGTCAAACCTGTAGTCTAACAAAATTTATTAAGTTGCTGAAACAAGGAAAACCACCCACCAAAGGAACTGGGGGAGTCTAACTGGAAGAAAAAAAAAAACAAAAAGGAAGAGGCAGACATAGCATAGGATTCGGTGGAGTGTATTAATAGATAAGAATTAAGCAGGCTCAGGCCTGAGTTGTGAAGCCGACTCCAAGGTCATGTAGCATTGAAAACCATAAAGTTAAAATAAATGTGGAATGTTATATCTGAAAATTTCTTATTTGAAGCACTATGCCTGGGCTGGCAAAGTGTCAAAATGATCCCCAGGACTCAGCTCTGCCAGGCAGACTTGGGATATTCCATTATTACTCATATGATTTCAAACAATAAAGCTTCTGAAAGTTTGTTTTCTGGAACAAGTTTTTTTAGCCTATGCCGTTTCATTAATCAACAAAAGCAGTTTTTACAGCTTCATAATGGGTATCTCTATGTGCTGAAATTCTTAAATTTAACATTCAGCTTAAGGCTACCTCCCTGAAGTGTTATTTAATTTCCCTTTGGTTGGGTTAAAGGCCTCTTTTATTTTCACCAACGATAACAATACTATGGGTATTATATGCTTTAATCATGTACCAGGCTCCACGGCTAAACGTTTATTTATGCATCATCCCATTTCATCCTCACAACTCTTGAGATACGAGAAAACTCTTAGAAATTAACATGCCTACGGAATTTGCTTTTTCTATTAATGCATTTACTTTCATCCTGCTTTGCGATTCATCGAGTTAATTTTCTTCCCCTAGTTTTTGTGGAATCAACCCTACCTACACTCTTCTCTGTGACCACCACAGGCTTCCTCCGTGGTAGATTGTCAATGAACGTGGAACTGAATCTCATACAGGACTTGTAACTCGCTTCCGTGATAACAAGTAAACTGGAACTTGCGCGTCCCATGCGTCGTTCTGTCATCCCGGGTTCCGGGGACTCGCTGGAGCAGCACAGGAGCGGCGAGCTCCGCTGGGTTTGGGCGGTCTGACCACACCTTCGGCTCCCCAGACGCTCGCTGATAATCACCGCTGAGCTCCAGCTGCCGCCGCTCCTTCCCTAGGAGGCGGGACTTCCTGTCTTCCTAAAGGAGCACTTCCGTCCACAGCCGGAAGCTGCTCTGGGGCAAGACGCGAGGTGGGGGCAGCAGCTCAGACCACCCTGGCGGACCGCGGATAGGTGAGCTTCTTCGGGGTCTGGGGAGCGGAGGGAGCCGTGCGTTCTTGGCTGGCTCGTGACCGGTGCACGCCTGCGAGGCTCTCGGTCTGTTTTCCCTTTAGAAACTTCCCAAGTGGCCGGGCGTTGCCTGCTTCCTGGGGCTTTGAGCGAACCCAGCTGCGCCGGGTGCAAAGGAGGCGTTCGTGGGGGCGAGTGGGGTCCCGGGCCGGAGCCCGTGGCGGGCGAGCGGGAGTGGTGGGCCCGCACTGAACTTCACAGAAAAGTCATACTGACTTGTCACTCTGCAAGAGGTGAAACTGGCACAGGCGACCAACGACTTGGTGTCAGGTTAGAGAAACAACCCTGACCATCCAAATC